CCCCAAAACCCCAAAACCCCAAAACCCCAAAACCCCTAAAGTTTTTGGGAAATTGTAAAATATATTATATTCGGAAAATGGAAGAAATCCTAGAAGAGACTCCAAACCAGATAATAGACACACTTGAAGACATAGAGGCGGTTCAAGGTAAGTGCTCTGATCTAGATAGGTTTTAGCTAAATTTTGCCTGAAAAATATAGGCTATTTTGGTTATTTAGACACCTATTTCAGCCTTAATAACAAATATATAGACGACCCAATAGAAATGTACGGTTATGATAAGGAAGCTGAAGGTGGACTGGACGAAGTAGCTCTACAATTGGGAAACCAACATATTTTCGACGATATACCTGAATTTTAATGTTAAAGCTGATGATGAAGAGATCGAAAAGAATGGAACAGCCAAATTCCAAAACCTTAAACAACTGATACAAGAAGGAGAAGGTGATGCTGAGCTAGTCTCAAATGAAGAGAATCCAGAATCTCAGGATCTTTCAAGATCTTCCAATGAAAATCCTCTTAATGATTCCTTTGATGATTTAATTAAAAATGGAGGGAGAGAAAAAGGAATATCTATACAGGATATTCCTAAAATACCTATTGAGAAGGTCCAATCAAGAAATGATAGACAGCCAGGCTTTGCAGTAAACCGTATGGTGAGTGATATTTCAGCATCATATGACCCAAACGTACATGTCAATAATATGTACGAAAACAATCCAGAAAAGAGTGAATCTGATATTTTCTCAACAGCTAAATCAATAGAGTTTCATACCAGCCGAATTGGTATGAGAGGGAATGCAAGTACCTCCATAAAAAGGGAATCAGACTTGAGTCACCATTACAACAGATCAAAGCATTATGATAATGACGAAGAACTGCTCATAGAGTCCTTGATGAAGAATGCTTCGCAATTACAACACGTCATGAAAGACTACATGGGTTCTGAAAGAAATGACGATATCACTGAACAAGAAGATAGACACGAACTTAAAGACGAAATATCCAATATGCGAGACAAAATTTTCGGGTAAGCCTCCTAGCTTATAACTATAGAACTCTTGAGGAATACAAGGACCAAATTGAGAAATACGGCTATGGCGTGGATAATATCGAGGAGAACATGAAGACTGAGCTGCGACAACAAAAGGAAGAAATTGAGAGGTTCGTACGTCACCAAAATTCTCAGTCCGACTCTTTAATGATCCTGCATAACTTTGAGGAATTCCTTGAAATGAAGTGCCTCGAAGTTGAAAACCTTGAGTCACAAGTCTTTACGAAGGACTCTGAAGTAGAATCATTGAAATAAGAAGTACACTGAGCTCCACCGGAGTTATCAGCTAATGGTGAAATCAATGTCCAAATAAGATTCAAATAAGTGATGAAGAATATGATGAACTCCTAGACTCGAGAAAGGATCTCATTTCAGACCTGTCCAAAATCACAGAGAAAGTTTCTATCAAACAAGCGCAAGTCGATGAAGAGAACAAGAATATCCTTGAAGAGCAGAAATAAAATAGAGGAATATAATAAGAAACTCGAGGAGTGTGAACGCCTTAAGTCAGAGAACTCTGAGAAATCCAAGGTTGGCAAAGACCTTGAAGATAATAACCTCCAGATAGAAGACCAGATCAAGCTCATACTGCAAATGAATTTTGACCAGACACAGAATTTTGATAATTTAATAGCGGAAAATAAGCAGTTTATGGATGAGATGAGGAAGATAACTCACCAAAAGCGTCAAGAGGTGTATAATCAACTAGATTTGATGATCAGAAAGCATCTGGTAAGAGTATTAAATAAAGTTCTTATAGAATGCTTCAAATACCACTGGGATGCTTGGGCATAAATACATCACGAATATGATAAACACCCAGAAAGAGCAAAAGACATCATTAGAAACTCAAATTTCCAAACTTGAAAAACAGATTCTTCAAAAACGAGAAGATTTAAAAGGCGATAAGGTAAGCCTACGAATCTATATTATGCTTAGAACTACAATGAGAAGCTTATATCCAGCATGACATCAAAAGTGAAGAGCCAGGGTCTCTTCCTAATTTTTCTCACATGCATTCTTCTGTACATCCTCTACCACAAATATGCATAATTTCCAAACTATTTTTATTGAAATTCAATATTAATGGAAGAATTTGGGGTTTTGGGGTTTTGGGGTTTTGGGGTTTTGGGG